TGTGAAATCTGTGATTCCCTGTTATGCAAATCATGCCGTATGGCGTAATTGTCTGCTGACCAATCAGTGGCTGTACTTTCAAAAAGCAAACGGCCACTTTCAACCATCTGTCGATGACCGTTACGACTAAAAAAAACTTCGCTAGGTCTTACTTTCAGGGGGAGGTCTTATATTTCGCAATTCAGCAAAATCTGTGCTAGGTCTTATTTTCTGCGGATGTCTTATTTTCGGGGAAACACGGTAAGACGTAGAAATCAACTTACATGTAAATAATCATTATTGTTGGCAATGCACTTTCCATTGAAACACCAGACAATGGATAAAATGTCCTTGGTTAAGATAAAACTTAATTCTGAATGGCTTTTTGCATCATAGCATATGACATAACCTTGAAAAATTGGTTAGAAAGTTAGATTAGGTATTTATCATCAAAAGCAATTTGCAGAAGGCTATTCAGAATGGCTTTGATTTGAACCAAGAATACTGTATCAATCATCTGTTATCATAATGGGCAAAGTGTGTTACCAACAATGATTATTATTAACATTTAAGTTGAGTTCTGTGTCTTTTATCAATCTGTATTACATTTCATTTGACTGCTACTTATATTTTATATAATCTAATAGATACCTATTTCCCATTAAATGTAAATTATATGCTATTACATGTATAGTATTTTCATGAAGAAAACAATTACATTTCAATATCACGAACTTAAATTTTTTTATTTAGTTGCTACTTGTTAAGTTATTGTTGTATCTCAATTTTGTCTTCTGTAAATATATGAAGTTAGAGGATTCAGAGAAGTAAAACAAAAAGGAAAAAAAACAAAAAAACATCAATCATACTTAATGTATTTTTGTTTTTGATCAACAGTTCTAGCTTTTGTGCAAGTTTAAGTAAAAAGAATTATCCAAGAATTTGTTTAATTTTTAATTTTTGTTAATATGAATGTTTGTTTTTAATAAAATTTGTCTATAATTTAGCACAAATTAATGGTTACTGAAATAATTAGAAAAAAATTTATTAATAGCTTAAACTGATATATAAATAAGAACATCATATCTGTACTTTAACTCACTTACATGAGGTCAAACATGAAGTCAGTATTCAGTTAAAAAGAAATTATCAATAAATCTTTGAAATATTCATATTTTCAATTTTATTTAAATTATGAAATAATTTTAAAATTATTTTGTTCACATATTTGTAGAAAAATGTAATTTAATAAATAATTCTTATAAAAGTTGTTTTAATTATTTAGACGAGTTTTAGAAATTTTTCATCAAGTAATTAATAAATATGGTGTCACTATGGTTGTCAGTGCTGGAAATCATGGGCCTGCATTATCTACAATTAGTACTCCAAGTAGTTATAGTTCATCAATTATTGGTAAGATTGTTTTAAAAATATTAAATTTTTTATTTTTCTGAGAAATAATATTAAATTTATACTTTTCTTTTATAAATTTCAAATAGAAATAAAAGCAAAACTTTTAATTTAGAATATAAGTTTAGAAATTTTTTTGCAAAGTTACTAAGTCTATTTTTATAGTTCTATGATATATATAAATGTATATGTACAAAATAGTCTGCTATTTACAATCACTTTGGGATTAACTTACATTGATAACAATAACCAATTGATAATATTGATAATGGTAAGTAAACATGAGAGTGTGGTTACACCAACTATAGTAGGGGTGGCTCTAGAAAATTGTGAATGGCTTTCCAGGAGGTATGAGGATCACAGACTATTCCAGAAAAAGAAGTCTAGAAGTGGGCCTCTGAAAAATTTTTGAAATATAATAATAAAATATAATGCAATAGGCTTACTATTAAATAATCTACTGTACGAAAGAGTACAAAAGAGTACGAAAATATTGGAAATTTAAACATTAGAAATTCATTACTTATTATTTTTGTACTTTCTGCAATATAAGTGGATCAGGTCTAAGGTCTGCTGGAGAAACCATTCTAGAGCTGACATGCTTTATTGAATCTGTACATAGTTATGCCATGTCATGCGTAAATAAATTAATTTTATAAAATCTACTGTGTATTTAGTTTGTTGGGTGTTTGCCTTAGTGGACTAATGAAAACCCTTTCATATCTCACATAGTTATTTATGTTTAAGTGCAAAAAATAGTTTGTTAGCATAATTAAGTAATGAGTTAAAACTGTTTAGCTTTTTTCACATATTTAGCATGAAGTTATGGTTAATCATACTTCTCAAGAATTTTGTGTAGATCAAGTAGGTAGGCATACTTGAAAAGTCAAGTATGCCTACCTTATAAGTTAGAAATTTTTAAAATTCTATAAATATAAGTGGATTCCTATTCTGATCAAGGTAATGTATTATATTTGAAGAAATATTACATGTTTAAGAGATCTTACTTGTTAGAACCAGAAGTATATTTGACATGATTGTTTTACATTTTAAGTGTTTTATGAGTAATTTTTTTTATTAGCCTTGTAATAGTAATTATTTCTCTTCAGCTATACAAATTTTTTGTTATACATTTTAATTAAAATATTTGAAAATCAAAATGAGATCTTTCAAAACAAAACTCAATGTCTTTTAAACAATTGAAAACTGTATTTATTTTCAGGTGTAGGAGCTTATGTTTCTCCAGATATGATGATAGCGGAATATTCTTTAAGAGAAAAAATGCCAGGAATGGGATATACATGGACATCAAGAGGACCTTCGTGAGGCATTTTTTTATTCATTGTAATAATACTGTTAGTAAGTAAAATCTCCATCAACCTCAAATTTAGTCCAGTAGTTGTCAAAAATATTATCTTTCATTTTTGACTTACTATGGTCTTCATCAGGAAATTAGAACATAGCAGAATGCTTGTTGAATTTTCAAGCAGGAAAAATTAATTTGGATTCAAATATAATTTAAATTAGCTGCCATATGTATACCACATAATGCATGAATAGTCATTTCACAAAGTATTGTCAAAACATGCCTACTACTGTTTGAAGATTCAATGAGCATTTCATTATACTCTAATTTCCTGATGAAGACCTTCAGAGTAGGTGGAAAATGTTAGAAAGGTGATAAGTTTGATGATTGCTGGACTAATTTGAGGTTGGTGAAGATTTTACTTACTATTATATTCATCCAGTTTTGACTTACTATTATTAAATTTCATTGTCATGAATGACATATAGAAATTAATTTATAGAAATTGTTAATTTACAAAAAAATTTATCATAATCAAATAGTAATGTAAATAAATTATCCTGTTACTGAAAAAATTGCAACTGAAAGAACTAAGGATAAAAATAATCATTATTGATTGTTGAAATTTTAAATGAGTATATTATGCTAATTAAACTATCAACTGTAAATTTAAAGTATGAAATGTAACATATATCATATTGTAACATACTAATGTTGAGTTTATTAATGATAAATATGAATTAAATTTTATTTTAGAATATAAAAATGAAAAACTAATTGTATTTGAAGAATAATTTGATAATTGAAATAACTATGAAATGTTATTAGAGCTTTTTAAATTAAAATTCCTGGGCTTTTTTTATTTAAAAAATATGGAAATATAAATTTCTTTTATATCATCATAAAAAAATTCAATAATTCTTTTGGAAATTTTTTGAAATGAATATATTAATTAAATAAATATAAATTTCAGAATGATTGGAAGTTTAGGAGTTAGTGTATGTGCTCCTGGAGGAGCAATTACTTCAGTACCAAATTGGATGTTAAGAGGATGCCAGTTGATGAATGGAACATCTATGAGTTCTCCACATGCAGCAGGCTCTGTTGGTATGATGAGATTTCATAAATTACATTAAATTTAGTACATAATTATAATGCCATATTGATAAAACAAAAAAATAGGGTTTATGACATAGTTCTTTGTTTTAAAATGTTAATATTTTCTTCAGACTATAATATTATAGATGTGTCAAATGAACTGCCAGACTAGTAATCAGTAAGTAACAAGGCTAATTTAACAATTAGAAATAAAGCAATTTTGCTGCAGTTAGGTTGTCATCTAATGATAACTTTAGTTTATTAAATTAGCTGCCTCCCTGTAGCCTAATTATGTTATTTCTAATTGTTAAATTAATCTTATTTCAGCCTGATTAATAATCTGGCATCTAGTGATAAATTTCTAGTAGTTTGTCATACCTAATAAAATCAGTTTGATGTTTGTTGTTACATATAACATTATAGACTAAAAAAATTATTTTAAATACAAAAGGCTTTTAATTATTTTGAAAACAGATATTTTTTATAAAGCAGAATTTATAGATTGCTTTTCAAGGAAGAAATATGTAAATTCTATTTCTATAATTGCATAATTTTAAATTATTTTTTGAATATTTTGAAAATTTATTATATGTAAAGACTAACATTGGATATAGTGATTAACAGATAAAAAAATCATTTTATGTTTGTTTATTATAATTAATGTTTTAATTAATTTTAAAATCTAATTTAAATAAAAATAATAATTATTTAATTATTCAAAAACTTTTTCCAGCTTTATTGATTTCAGGTCTTAAGGCTAANAACAAAATAGTTATATTGAAAAATATAAAAACAAAAAAAGATTATATTTTGGAAGTTTTCTAGTATCAAAAACGTTCCAATTCAGCCTGACACATGTTCCGACACAGTCCTCAGAAAAACATCACACAAAACAAGTAAAACTCACCACTCACGATGGGGGAAAAAGGCCTCATTCAAATACTGGTGCATCCTTAAGTACCCTGTCATGGTCTTGCCAGTGCTGCCAGCTAAAACATGCACAGCAATAAAAATAATATTGGAGTAGCCCAAGACAGCCAAATATTGCAGCACCACAGCACTAGTGGAAATTTGAATTTGCTGACTGGAACACTTTCAGTTTACTGATGTTTCAGTTGATCAGTATTCAGATAACTGATGCTCTACTGTATATAAATAATCATTTTATGTTTGTTTATTATAATTAATGTTTTAATTAATTTTAAAATCTAATTTAAATAAAAATAATAATTATTTAATTATTCAAAAACTTTTTCCAGCTTTATTGATTTCAGGTCTTAAGGCTAAAAACATACAATGTTCTCCATTTAGTATAAGACGTGCAATAGAAAATACCGCTCTTAAAATTGAATCCTTTGATTCATTTAGCATGGGCCATGGCTTATTACAAGTTAGTATAACAATTTTTATTTATGTACAAATACATTAATTAATTAATTAATTTTGATTTTCAAAATTTGTTTACTTGGATATTAATGAGAAATTTTCACTGAGGAAACAATTACAAAAAATTTTCAATCATAATTTTATTATTCACATGTATACAGGGTGGTTCCAAACTTTGGGAATAGATTTCTAATAGGACAAAGAACTAAAATGCTCTTATTAACATATGTCCAAAAATATACTGGTGCCAGATAGATAGCACTACTGAGTGTCATAAGCTACACCCACAGGATATAACATTGACGAACATTATGGCATATGTATCTCAGGCAGAGTCACAGTAGATGATTGAAAGTATCTTTCCTGACTTCAATTTGTTCTATTACAAATGTATCCTTGCATTTTAAATTGTATATGTTCTAAAATCTATAGCTGGCCATTTAGGAGTGTTGAAATTGTTTATTAATAATTTAAATTCAGTAATAACTTTTTAGATTTTGTTTTAGATGAGGACATTGTCAAAATATAGCATGGCATATTATTGTAAACTAATTTGTGGTTTTTGGATTTTTGAGTGTGTGTTAAGAAAGAACCAACTAAATCCATCCTATTCATTTTCTAGCTTAATAAGAAAGGAAAAATAAAAATAATTTTAATATATTAAAAACATTTTTAAAAATGTTTGAGATGAGGGATGGTAGAGTCATCACTTTCATATGCATCACTAAAATGCATTTACACACACATATGATTAAATTCTGTTTGTTATATTTATTGGGTTTCAGAATAAATGGATGGTGGAGTGAGGTCACTCTCTAAAACACCATTAAAATGCATTGCCATTGGATTTAGATATATCTTATATGTTTCAGCCTTCCATCATAATTAGAAGTGGAGTTGCAAGATTTGACGATATCATACAAGACTAGTTAAATAAATAACAGCATTTAAAAATAAGAAAAATTCAAATATAAGTAATTGGCAATGTGTAAAGATAAGATAATTTAATAGTGTTTTTTAGATTAAAAAAGTGTTTAATTTCTTTTACATCTTGAGGAGAATCCTTAAATTTTATGCTGTTTTGAGTACTAAATATTTTGATATTAGAAATATCTGATACTGCTTATTGTAATCAGTATTATTTTTATTTTCAAATCGGATAAATATAGAGCTATGAAATTTTGATATGGTTATAATAACAATACAAAGAAACTATATGATAGTATAAATTACACAGATAGCAAAACGAAAATTGAATAAAATTTGAATTTAAATGAAATTTTTTATTCTATTTATTCTGTATTAATTATTATAAGAAATAAAACAAAGACCAAAGATGATTTATAATATAAATGCTTAACAATTTAATTTAGGATTTATGAAAATTTTTGTAAAAATTTATTACTGGATTACTTATATACTTAAAACTTAATTGAAAAATTATCTAAATAATTTGAAAGATTTCATTAGGTTTCAATGATATATGTATGTTGAATTAATAATGATTTTTCCCCCTTGAAGAATTTTTCATTTTATCAGTTTTAAAAATTTACTATAAGATACATTTGCCTCTAGTTTCTGATATTTTATTGTTATTTTTAGGTTGAAAAAGCTTTTGAGCACTTGGAAAAATTTTCTAATTGTTTAGAAAATGATATCCGTTTTAACATAACATGTGGATCAGGTATGAATGGTATTTATTTACGAGAAAGTCATCAATTGCAACGCCCTTCAATCATTAATGTTACTGTAGAACCAATATTTCTTAATGATCAAAATACAGGTAACTTTTAAAAATATTTTTACGATGTATATTTTTTAATGTGGAAACAAGAATAATTGACATTGGGATATGCTTTTTAAAGATCCAAAGAAAAAAATAAATTTCCAATTGAATCTTAAACTTATTTGTGATGCTTCATGGATTCATTGCTCGTCTCATTTAAATCTTAATTACACAAGTAGAACATTTGCAGTTGAAGTGGATCCTGTTGGACTTCCTAATGGAGCTCATTATACTTCAGTATGTATTTTATTTTATCTAAAATTTAATCATAAAAGTTATTTTAAGTTTTTTATATATGAAAATAGCTTTACTAAAATAATAAAATGAAAATAAGTAAATAATCATTTTATCACAATAACATTATAATTTTGTTACTGATTATTAATAAATTCTAAATTTGACTTATGTTAATCTTATTGATATTTTATTGTAATTTTGTGATGTTCTTCCATGATATTAATCAATTAGAACAGGATTGTGTATTGATTGGTTAAAATTATAAAATATATTTAGCTTATTTTGCTATAAAAAGAACGTTTTATAGCAAAACAAGCTAAAAATAAAAATTATGATGATAATTTTTAAATACCATACTTCCACACATAAAAGTGTACTCTTATAGATCAGCATCTTTTATTTATCAATAATTCTCGTTATTTATTTTGGGGATGCTTTATTTTGTTAAAGGACAAAAGTGCCACACTCAATTGAAAAATAAAAATTCAAATTTGAAAAAATAAGAGTCTTACTATGACTGACACCCGTACCACCTATGTTGCCAATTTACTACAGCATCTCAGATTGAGTGATTTCTGAATAGGAATTGCTACCCAACTGTGATTGCTTTAAAAAAAGCAGAAGTAATTTTTTTGAAAGATTTGGTAAAGACAAATGTTCAAAAGATTGTGAAGAAAGAAATTAACACTTGTTAATATAAGTATGTAAATGAGTTGGAGTGACACAGCTGTTTGTTACATCACACTAAGGAGTATAAAAGACCCAACAAGACTGAAGAAAGATGAGGTGAATTTCTTGTAAGCAAGCAAGTTCCTGAGTGAGTGCAATTGGTGAACAGACTTTTTCCTTTTGGTATAATGGTTAGACGAGTTAGTTGTAAAAATATTTTTGTGAATTTTGTAAATAGTTAGTTTTTATATTTGTTAGATTTTTGTGGAGATAGTTATAATTCTAAGTCAAGTTTAAGTTCCCAAGTGTTGGAAAAGTGTACTTTTGTACATACATTTTGTTTTTGATTTTGCTTAGATAAAGTGTCATTGAATTTTATAACTTGTACAGTTTGTTTTTCTAACTTATTTCATATTTATTACTATTAATTATTATACATACAGTAGTTGGTCATAGTATAATAATTTAATTTTTTTTGTGCATATTCAAATATTTATTTTGGGATTTTTTTTTCATAAATTAACTAATTATTTTTATTTTTGAACAAATTTGTTTGTTTTTGCCCATTTTAAAAGTCCAGGCCTGGCACAGACTGACCTTTGTTTTTGTTTTTACTCATGTAATGCTACATGTTAGATGATTTGCAGACTTTGAAAAAATTAAATGTTACAAAGTGCTTAAAAACTTGCTATTTTAAAAAAATTTTATACTATTGAAAAAATTTTTAAAATTTCAGTTTTTTTATTTTTAATAATAGTTAACATAGATATGTCAAAGAATAGTACTGTATCAATGCATTTACATTTAAGTTATATTGATGCAGCAATACTGGTTTTGGCTTATAAGAGCAGTGGCTCTTATAAGTCAAAACAAGCTAGCAGAAACATAAGGGTATGCTCTTATATGCAATATATACTTTTATAAGCAAAGAATGTGTGTTTCAAAAATGTGAAAACAAGATTTTACAAAACAACATTCAATATCTGTTACCTGCATTTATGCATATTCAGTTTGCTTTGTTTAGAGCCTATTAAAAAATGAAATTTATAAATATTTATCTGAAAATTAATTAATTTATTTTGAATTGATAATTTTGAATTAATTTTATGTGAATTAATTAAAATTTACTCTTAATGCTTCTTTATCTTTCTGATTTTCATTAGAAGCTTAACTAACATAAAACAGTATTAAAGTTTATTTTTCAGTATTAAAGTTTTGTATTTCCATAATTATGTTTAACCATAATTTGTATTTCCATAATTATGAGAAATATAATTTTATTTATTTTTATCTAATAGATTAGAGCTTTTGATGCTTCATGTATTGAGAAAGGTCCTGTATTTGAAATACCTATTACTGTGATAAAACCACAAAGGTTAGAATTATATATTTTCTTTCAAGAAAATTAGTATGATTTGTTAAATTATTTAAAAATGATTCCAAAAATTTTAATATAGATAGTTTTAATTTAAAATATATTTAAGAGTTTTGAAATAAATATTATTATACGTTATTTATTTTTTATCATAAATCAAATTTTATGATATTGGTCTGAATATTAGTTGATGTTTTTTTAAGTTTTAAAGGAGTGAAAAATTTCTCTTTACCTATATCTGAGTCTGATATAGATCAAGTGAATTTAAATCAAAAGATTTTTTTTATTTAGGTAACTATCTGTGTACATGTTATACAGAGATGTTGTACTGATGCTAAAATTTGGTATGTCAATTGTTTAGTGATTGTAAGTTAGCTGATTTAGTGAAGATCGAGAACTCAAAATCCCATTTCTCTGACTCCAGTTTAAGTTTGCCAACTTTTAGGGGAGAATCAGTTAAGTCTACATCAGGACGGACTTAGGGGCTGTTCACATGTGGGTGGTGGAAGAGAAGACAGTGATGACAAATGTCTAACATAAGACCATTTATTGGAGCATAAGATAACTTACACAAGGTTAATTACAGATTGATTTCGAGTTAGGGTTTGGATGTGATGGTCAGTGGTAGAAAAGTCACTTGGCAATGGATGATGGTCACCAGATGGAAGGCAGATGATGGCCCCAGAGCTGTAACAATGTGGTGTCCTTTGGGAGACATAGAAGGCACAAGTTGGTAGCTTGAAGAGACAGTGACGATATCTATACGATAGCAGTGATGGCTGTTTGCAGTGAAAGATTCTTTTTTCACAGCAAACAATTGTGAAAAACTGCATTTTGTGTGTTGACACATTGCGTCTTGGTTATTCAGAATGCTAACTAACTGAGTGCTGTGTGTCCTTGATTGTCAGAGATTATATCAATCTCCGTCCTTTTTTCACCCATTCTGATTGGTTGGTCTCCCTCATCCACACTTTCCGAGTGGCTGGTCCCTCGTTACTAAGTGTAATTGGACTCCTACCTGGAGTGTGGGAGAGGTCAACATCGAAACTGAATTAAATTTCCCACCAATCATAGCACGTTCTTTCTACGATTTATCATTCTGCATTGCAGTTTTAATATAAACAAAAGGTGTCCGACTATAAACATTTTTCCTAACGTTTCTAAAATAATTAAATTTTTCTCTAAATTAACCAATTTTTCACAAATTTTGTGACAGTTCAGACCTGTTCAGGATCTCCATATGATGCTAAAAGTCAGCCAACTTATAGCCTGTCCTGATGCAGCTTATAAGCTGTTTGTGAGAATTAAATGTTTAGTATGATTGTAAATAATCTATTAGTTGATTGTTTTTGAATGATCAACTAAACTAAGCAGATTGATTAATTCAACACACCTGAATTTTTTTGCCAAGCATAAATTATTTTATTCTCAAACATTTTCAACCTACTTATCATAGGCCATCTTCAGACTTACAATTACCATTCCAAAATGGAATGCAACATTTTTCAAATACATTTTATTTTAAATTTAAAAGATTTTTACAATAATTGTGTATATTAAATAAATGAAAAAATAAATTAATACAATAAATAAATAACAGTAAATTAAGCAGATTGTTTTTTTATCGTATTCAGCAGGGTTAGTCAGTTTTAGTAACTTTTTTATTTTTCTCCAATTTTTGACAATTGCTTGATTAATAGGATTCTCTATTAATCAAGCAATTGTCAAAAATTGGGTGATGATTTCTGAAAATTTACTGCAAAATTTGTTTAGTTATAAGGTATAAATTTCTATTAACAATATTGAATACATAAATTTATAATTACATGTTTTACACTTTATAAAAATGTTTTAAACAGTTATAGGAAAAAAATAAGATTTTGATACTGACCAAAACTGGAAGTACACTTTCTGGAATACATATGATATATGCAAAGAAATCTACTTTCTTGGCATGGTACATATGTTGAGCAGCCTAACATCAGGTGCATAAAACATTGTTTCAATTTTGCTATATAACTTTATTAATTTCATTTTTATTCATATTGACAAAAATGAAGTAACAAGTTTGGACACTTATACCAGATATTTTCTAGGAAAACAGGAATAAGCTCTCTGGCATAGATTTTTGTTTTGGCTTCATGTGAAAATACAAATGTGATTACACACTTTTAACATTATCTAGTGCAGTTAAAACCCACCAATTTGGGGAGGACATGAATATCCAATGTCATAACAGACAAAAATATCAAGAAATGTTTAAAACACCCACATGTGCAGCCAATCATCTACCAGCTCCATCCAACTGGTTAAAACATGTGACCACATGCCTTGAGTGTTAAATGCCCATCATAAATATCAAAATAAAAAATTATCAGAGCGATTAATATTTATTTATTAATTAATTAATTTATTTATTTAAACATACTGGTACAACCATGATGAGGGGAAAAACAAAAATTATACAAGATCATACAACATATCCATTAATACAAATACACACAACTTATAACTAAAACATAAAGGTAAATTCAATCTTAAACCTAAAAGTAGTAGAACTATCCAAAAGAAAAAAATTACAAAAAAACTATGCTATATCTTACCTAGAAAGTGAAAAATAATCAGATTAGTCTCTTATCCATAAATTGGATAGGCTCCCAGATAACCAAAGCCATCTGCTGGTTAAATAACATGCAAACCATGCCCCAGGACACAATTAACATAAAAATACTAACAACTTTTCACTATGAACTTAAAAGCATAAAAAATTACATTACTACAAAGCCAACATCATGATATAAACAATTTAACCTTTTTAATAAAAATAAATACCTTGAAAAACAAATCAGTATCAGAGGTTACATTCCTAAAATTATTAAATGAAAAACAGGTAACAAGAAAAATCTCCTTTGTAATTTTGACAAAAAAGGCACAAACTGCAATTATGTGATGTGCATCCAATGAACCATACCACACATGCAAATGTCCCTTCTGTAATTACATAAAAATCTCAGTGAGTGATATGTAACTTGCATTAATACTGCCAAAACATTACAAGAAAAATTATTGTTATAAATAAAGCAGTCAAAAAAGATTTATTCAAATTTTTATACCACCAGCAATAGGTGCTTGATAATGCCATTATTCAGCTTTGAAATATAATTATCAAAATGATTTTAACTTTAATAAATAAACGCCATTTACATTTTTAAACAAATTTTCAAAATCAATTTTATTCCTCGTATAATTCACAGACAGATACTTTATCCAGGGCAACTCTATCTGTTTCAAAGCAAACCTCAAACAAATTTTGTTAAGGCATTTTCCCAAGCTTAATATTCTAAAAACCCAATTAATACATTTATTCAAGACTATTCAAGATAATGGAATCAACGAACACTTCATACACTCTAAATATCCAGAAGTACAGTACATCTTGGTAGCCCATACAATCTCTTAACAAAAGTAGGTAATACTACATCCAAAATCTCCACCTGAAATCCCCCATTCCTCAAAGGCATAAAAAAAAGAAAAACTTACAATTGCATTAAATAATTTTATCTGATTCTTCAAATTATGCAATTTTGCAGACTTGCACATTTGTATAACATTATACAACTTTATCTCAGCGTTAACTCACAATCTTCACATAAGCATTAAAATTACTGTTGCTTTTAAAGGTTACGCCCAAATACTTATATTGTGAAACAATCAAAATTGGGTCACCCCCTAAATCACCATTTATTAAACCTGGAACCCTTACCACCATTTAGTAAAAGAATAATTTTAGATTTTGTAAAACTCAATTGTAGACTGTTATCCATTAAATATTTATCCAAAAGGTCAATAGACACCTGCAATAACCTCACAGAATTAGCCACAATTACCACATCTGCATATGATAATATCTTTACATTGATACCATCAACATCAATATCTTCCACCCTCGAATTATTAATACAATTCAATAAATCATTTAAAAATAAACTAAAAAGAATGGTGCTCAAAATGCAGCCATGTCTAGAAATCAATGTAAATTGACAGCAATCAAAAACTAGATTGATATGTAATGTGTGACCAGCTTACAACTGGCAATCAGCCCTAGACTTTACATGGCAAATTTTGACCTAAAATATCTCAGCCCATAGAATGAATCTTAAAATTCTGGCTTCACAACAACATTGATCTTGCCAAGTTATATTTATTTGCAAAAAATCATGTTTAGCAGTTGTGCAGTTACTTTAGCACTTCTGGACAGCTTCCACATGAGTTACAGAAATGACCTTTGACTCCTACAGTACTCTTCCCTTGACTTTCCTGTAATCTTTGGTCTAAACTTATCTGCCTGTATTTACTATATCTTGCTTTTGTAATATACTACTAGTTCTAGTTAGTGACAAAATTTTAAGATCAAAATTTGAAATTGATATCAAAATTTTTCCATTTTTATCAAATATTTTTCCACAGAAAAAGGTTTTCTTACCATTTCTTTTTGTCAAAGCCATTACTATTATTATTAAATACTTTAATGTTTATGTGTATTTGTATTTTAAAAGAACTGAACAAATAAGCCAAAACATCACAATTGTTGCAATTTAATACATTTTTTATGGAGTGTTAATTTGAATTTTTAATGGAATGGCTTACAAACAAAACCCAACACTGAAATTGCATTGAACACATCATCATAAATTTTTATCAGATGACAGAAAACAATAAATAGAATGAAAATAAATCATTCCCCAGTCAGAATTGAGCATGCATTTTTTAAATGGCACAATTATAAGAAAGAAGACAAAAAAAATTTTATTTTTTATTTGTTTACAATATAATCAGATTACAATCAATCAATTCTATGTCAACAAATTCTGACTAATATCAAATTAAATGGAAAATAATGATCTTCAAGAAAGACTAATAGTAAAAATTAGAAAGTTATTCATTTTCAAATGCGTGTGATTTTAAAAAAGATTAACAAAGGTCTGTTCACAGAAGAATGACACCTAAAAACCATATCCTGAAAGTGTTAAATTTTAATCATAGACAAACACTTTGATTTATGCAGAGCTCTGCTTATGCTCTGTTCAGTTATATTTTTTGCTATAAAACATACTCTTTCAGTACAGTTTTCCAACTAATTAGTTATGTTTCGAATTTAGTTTGTAAAAATTAAGAAAACAATAAAAATGTATTTATGCTGATTGTATTTACAAATACAAAAAAAAAAAAAAATACAATATACAAATACATGAGTCTTTCACAGCCTGGCACATGTATTTGTAAAATCTAAGTGACTTGTACAACATGGAATTCATATAAAACGGAATGATCAACAGTGTTATAGGGGGGTCGACTGTATCTGGGAATCAAACTAATGAAATAATAAACAGGAGTGATGACAATGAAAGTTCTGTTGAAGATGAAAGTAATGAAATATTATTTAAATGACTTTCCACATTTTTTAATGAAAATTGCTAATTTTTGTATTGTAATAAATTTAATAATAAAAGCTTGACTTATAATAGTTCTAATTTTTTTTATCAAAAAGTAAGGAGTGAATTTACATCTGGAAGTCAACTTATATTTAGGCCAATACAATATATAACAAAAAAAGTCATTGTAAATAAATTATATTTTTTAAAACTACTTGTAATTATATATGTTCATTAGATAGTTGAATGGCTAATGTGAAACTGAATTAAAGTATGCAAAAATAAACTTTAGTATATTATGGACATGCCTATTTAGAAAAAAATAAGTATGTCATAGTAGCTAAGATGGTTAGTTTTCAACAGGTCACTGAAATTAGGATTTCAGTTTTTACTTGGCTCTATTAAGATATATTTTTCTGTTTGAGTCCTGATATCTTCTCTAGTATATAAAATATGAGGTATTTATGTATTTTAAAACTTTATATACTGAGATTTATATTTTGGATGTGGATTATTTTAAAGAACTAAAAGCTATTGGCTTTTTTCAGTAACATTTCAGTTCTTTAAAAATCCACAACAAAACCAGTAACAGAATGTTTTAATTAAATTATATTTTGGATGTTAGATGCCTATTTACAGATCAGCTACTCATATTGCTAATTGTTTTACGAATAAATTTACTTTTGAAAACAACTGTTAAAAATAACTTTTCTAGTGGGTATCTCTAGAACACAGAGACAAATTAGTTTTGTAAGCAGTAATTTATTATTATTTATCTTTTTTTTTTTTGTAAATTTTGTTATGATAAACTTAGAAATTGACACCTAATTTTGACAGAATTGAGATGTTTATTTCTAATAAAGCACAAAGTTTTGTCTGTATTTTCAATATACAAGGAACAACATTTCATATAAAGAATATTGAAAATGAATCTTTGTTTTAAAGATATCTAAGATATAAAATCTTAAGAACAATTAAAATGAAAGCTAAATTTAGTTTTACAGTTACCTTAAAAAAATGGCATTTCAGTAAAATTTTTATCATATTCACAAATATTACTTTTACAAAGATTTGTAAAAGTGATTTTGTAATAATAGTAATTGTTTTTTTTTAAATTAGAACAACAATTAATAACAACCATATAGGAAACCAAGTTCAAATTATAATAGTAATCAAATAATAGAACTGGATTAACTATATGGCTGGAACTTGATTAATTAATTATACAGATATTATGTAATTTGAATTAAAGGTAGGCAGTTATGCTGTCATTGTGTATTAAATTTAATAATTTTCTAGAATAATTAAATTTATTTATTTTTAAAGATTGATACAGAGTGGGATTGAAACCTGCAGCTTCTGCTTATTGTGCAAATGCATTGCCAATTATTTAACCCATTAATAATAACTTATTTACAAATATGTAAATTTAATTTGGACTAATTTGTAATAATTTATACATTTATGAAGTTTAAAATTAGATTAAGACAATCCTTGTTATCTGCTGATTCTTAACTCACTGATTTGCTTATCCACAGTAAAAGCATAACCCATTTTGCAACATAAGCAGTCTGATTTGCATATACATGAGCTATAAGCAGAAGTAAAAAACTCTGAGAAGTATTGCATAGCATGATATTTCTCAGAAATGTGTCCACAGGGAGAGTCTTGTCTTCAAATTTTCAGCAATGAAAATGAAGTAGTGTACAAATGTAAGTGCTTTAACAAGTGTTCGTAAGCAGAAACACATTGTAATGATTTTTTTTTCTGTAATAACTCAGGATATAATTCTTCATAATTGAAGTTTTCGACTATTTACAAAAATTATCAAATTTTCGAGTCTATCTTAATCCTTTTTTATACAACACCAGAAGTAACAGTTAACATGGTTTTTTATTGAAGAATAATTTCTTAAAAAACAAAGGTAAACAAGTAAAAAGAGAGATCACAATGTTAAAAACGATCAAGTGTCAGCCTTCTGTTGTAAGTTCTGACACTTTACATTAAAAACATGAAGAATTCTTCTCACCATACTGTCCTTATCCATTCTTTAACTGCTTCAGGCCCTATGGTGGTAATTTCGAGTTATCCTACTTATTTGCATATACTTATTGTATGCAAATGCCAGCCAAAGAGTTAATTTTAATTAACTCTTTGGCTGGGTAACAAATCATAAACAACTTGCACATCATGAATTTTTGATTTTAAAAAAAGTGCAAAATACCTTTAAAATATATGTGGTAATATTGGAAATGTTCCTTGCAAAAATGGTAGACAAAATGAGGTGTTTATTATTAAGTAGAGTGAAAAATGTATATTAAAGATCAGCAGGAACTTAACTCCATTTTTTCCATAGATCAATGTTTTAGTAATTGCAATTTCCATAACTGCAGGGTTTTTGGGAATGTAGCCCCTGCAGATAATGAGGATTGACTGTATTTATCTAATAATGTTTTGTGTTAATAAATATAATAATCTTTTCAATTTTTTTAGGTTTCCTGTGACACCAAATTGGAAATTAAGTTTTAATGATGTATTATTAGTACCGGGTATTATAAAGAGAGAGTTTTTAGAAGTTCCTGTAGGAGCAACTTGGGCAGGTTTGGACTATTTTCATTTAAAAAAAGAATTCATAATTATAAAATAAAATTGGGAAACATATTGACTGTTTTAGTTAATATTTAAAATAATTATATAGATATTAAGTTTATTTGATGCTGTTATATAATTAATATTATCGATTTTTATTGTTATACATAAATTTTTCCTATTTGATATAATTTATAATTATAATATCAAGAATTAGTTTAATTCTATATATATGCAGATTGAATAAAAAGTTTTAAATGTATATAGTAATATTTAAAACTGTCTTTTCATAGATCTTGTAATCTTATAGATCTCTGTTTAACTAATAATTTTTAGAAAGAGCATTTTCAAATTAATACAAGAAAAGAAAAGCATTATCAAGGAAGCAAAATATTTAAATTTAAAAACAGTTTCAGAATATTTTCTGTCATTGTTGCAATGTAGCATTACAAAATTCTATTAAAATCAAAAAATTAAAACAAAAACATTTTTTTTAAATAAAGTTATTAAATTAGTTCAAATATAAAATTTAATTTAAGATATTTTAACAGTATCTGCAAAAAATTGATACAATGTTGTTGTAGATATTGAAAAATAAAATATCTTAAATTATTTCTAATTTTAAATATTTTAGTTACTTGAGAAATGGTTTGATTTTCTTATACTCTGTTTAACCTGTTGAAGTCCAAATTTGTTTTATTTTTTTCCATAAATCATATTTTGTTTTACTTTTTTAAAATATTTTTTACTATTTTTTTTTTAATATTTTGTTTTACTATTTTTTTAATGCCATTACATTGAAAACAAGTGTTTTCAATGTAATGGCATTAAAAAAAAATTCACTTTTCATGATTATTCCATCAACATAAAAATTAAATCAACAACATAGGCTTAATCAACAAAAATTTATTCTAATTTTGACTTCATAAATATGCATTAAATCTTGATATATAAAAATGGCTTAACATTCATAATTTATATGAAATATGATCAGAAGAGGACAGATTTATTAGGATATGTGTTGGAATATAAGATTCTTAGGAAAAAACTGTACTTTAAAAATATCAAATGTAATTGTTGAAATTACTAGATAATGATATTTAATGATATTATTTTATTTTGCATTTATTTAATAAGTTAAATGATAAGAATAATCTTTTATTATAGATAGGCAGTATGACTGTTAAGAAATTTTAATGATTAGATAAATTTTTAAATTTAATTGATTTAATTTAGAATTGTTTAGAAAAGAATAGCTTGTTTTGCCTTTTAAACTTACATTATCCAAATTAGACTTAGTTAACTGGCAATTGTCACACATAGGATAGTTGATCCAATCTGAACTATCCCAAGTCAGATGCTTCCAAACTATGAATTTAAAATTTGTTTAAAATTGGTATAAAATTAGACTCACTTGAACTTTTAACCGGTGTGTATTACAATTAAATCTTGTAAATTGAATGTTTTCTTAAGAAAACGTTTGATTTACAAGATTTAATCATAATACACAGCGGTTAAAGGTTCAAGTGAGTCAAATTTTATATTCATCCTGGTGTGTGGTCCTGATTTATATTAAAATTGATATTTGTCATATCAGCCAAGAGTATTTTATTTTATATTCTTATCTTTAATGAAGTTAATTCAATTGTTATATAATTTTTTAACAAAATTTTAAAATAAAATAATGCTTCATAATCTAGTAATTGAAGTGCAGTGAGAAAAGTGAACAAGCTTTCTTGACAGCAGTTTAAATTAACAAATTGTTGTAACACATTTTGCAAAGTAACAATTTGATCAATTTGAATGAAATTTAACACATTAATAGAAGTAATAAAATGGTGTGTCATGACAGAGACTAAATTTTAAAAATCGACCTAGAACAGGAGATATTGAGAGTCAAATGTTAAATCATATTAAATCAATGGAAAAATTTTGCATTGCAAAAATGTAAACAAGTAAGCACACACAGCAAAATAATGTTATTCAACATTCAAAATACAGTGAGACTCTTGCCAAATTTTTTGATTACCAATCTTTTTCCCCCTTTTATTGAAAAATTTACTGTATATACCTTAACCTACATATACTTTAACATGTTATACCTTGCACTGTGTTTATTATGTAAATTAAGGAAGTTTTATAATTAACATAAGAATTCACTGTTTATGCAGAGTGACAAGTCGCTTTAATTTAGTGCCCTCAATGAACTAATCAGAGTTCACAAGCCATCATTGTGCTTCAGTCAGGGATGAAGTTCTCCTAGTTAAAGCAATTTTATTAATTACATTTGATATAACAAAATTTGATTGTTATTGATTATAGATATTGTTACAGATAAGTAAATGTAATGAAAAGAAAATTTGAAATTTTAACCTTGAGTGTAGAAAGCTGCTTGTGCGTATGTGTTTATGAAATATGAAGCTGCAACTATAATAGTTGATGTTAATATAATTGAAAGAGTTAATACCAGCAAATCGATAGATTTGCTGGTATTAACTCTTTCAATCTTTATGACTCTAACATAAAATAATCATATTGTAAATAATATATTTTTTATTGTTAATCACAACATTATCAAGTCTTATAATCATATCATTGTGTTTAATAGCACTGAAGAGGTACTTTAAAGTCACAGCAGCCCGAAATGCATACGATGTATAATCTGTTAAAATTATGCTGCAATAAAGTCTTGAGTACTAGCTTGGTGTTGCTGTGGGAAAATCAACCGACACAGATTAAAGTGATTTTACATACATACAAATTTTTGTTAAGCCATTTTTCTATTAATTAAGACTTAATGAGTATTTCGAGATATTTTGAATATAATTAGATTAAGTTGATATCAAAACCAGGTCCATATTTAAATGGCTTATGTTTGTTCTCATGTAATGTTAGAAATATGTACAGAGTTTATTGAACAAATCACTTTATAGCAATTTTATTATACATTACTGATAATCATTTTGAAGCTATGATTAATGTTTATATTCATTATAATATATTAATAATTCTAATTACTGTTTGTAATCTTGTTTATATGGAAAAATATTTGAAACTAGTGAAGTAAAATTATTTAATATTATAATTAATATTAAGTATAATTACAACTATAAAGTATAAAGTCTGTCAATATTGATAACACAAATATTCAGTAATTAGAAAGTATTTTCATAATAATTAGATAACATCAAATTTTACATCTTTCCAAATCTAATTAATACAGTATGATGATAAATAAATAAAAATCTGAATAACATTTTTTATTAGATTAAACATTATTTCTGATGAATCAGAATTTTGCAGAAGTAATTCTGTGTATTATTGCAGAATTATAAAGAATTTCCTGAATATTTTATGTTAATTTTCTACCAATAAAAAGAACTGTTTGTGTATTTAAAATTTAGAATTGTTTTTCTTATTTAAATAGCACTCCAGCCAAAATTGGAAACAAGTTGTTCAGGGATAGGGTTATTTCACTGTATTTGTAATGAATGAACTACATTTCCTATCTTCAAAGTGTGTTCATTATTTCTTCGTGAAAAATTCTTAAGGGAACTCGGTTCATATGAAAAGACATTCATAATCAAGGACCGAGTGAGTATATCTTCTAAAGTACTATTTAATAGTGAACACATAACTATTTTCAAACAGTAGTTTACCTATCATTGAATTAAAAATATTATTTTCTATGGTTTAAAGTATACTGTATATATCATTGATGGCATTTATTTGATGAATATTTATATTCCTTTCTATTACATAGTAGAATTATATAAATGTGTCAAGAGATATTATAATAATACAATATCATTTGGAAACCCATGTTTTTAAAAATGGATTATACTTAGTTTCAATCCAGATATACTTTGGTTTATTAACAAATATTACATATTTAAAAATAAGAAAAATGCACATTATTCATTTAATCTTAGGGATACTTATTTGATTGTATGACTGACTAATAGTGCATTATATTAAGAATTTGAGCTTGTAGCCAATTGTAGTTATCATAAAAAAAAAACAAAGTAATAATTATTTGTTTTCCTCAGATATGCAATAATTGTTCTTTAAAAAAGAATTGCTTACTTTATTAAAGAATTCGAAATAATTGTTCTTTATTAAAGAACAATTATTTCGAATTATATTTAAAACTGCATTATAAAACTGCAGATATTTATTCAAAATAATTGTTCTTTATTAAAGAACAATTATTTTGAATAAATATTTGCAGTTTTATAATGTACGTTATTTAATCTATTATTTCTTAATAAAAAATTTACAATAAATAGGCAGAATAGAATACTTATTTTCTATAGTCAGAAAAGCATATTGAGTTTATGAAGTTAGCTGTTTTCAATTTGGAAATACATTCAGGAAAAACTTTTAAATGTTTAAAAGTAGCTTCTTGTAATTTCTTTGGCTTCTCTTTGTAATGAATCAGAGCTATTTTTAATACAAAAGTAGAATTCTTATTCAAATAATAAATTATTTTATATTTCAGTTTAAGATGATATATTCAATCAATAATTGTCTATTCTATTAAATTTTTGTTAAAATAGCATAATAATTATTACTATATGCATTATATTTAGAACAATACTTCAAAATTTTAAATGAAAAATTTTAATTAGAACTCAACTGGTCAAATTTTCAATTATATAGTACAGTATTTATATACAGTATTTGAAAAAAGTCATATTTAGGATTATTTGATTGACTAAACTAGAAATTTCCAAACTTTCAAATAATTTATCTACACTACAAATGTTGCAAAATGAATATAGAATCCTTTCAAAAATAAAGTGAAATTGTTTTTTACTTTAGAACAATATAAATAAAAAATATACTATTCTTTTTCTTTGTTTTTTGAATTGTAGATGAGATTATTCATTTATATTTGAAAAGTCAGATTCTTTTTATGTTATACTGTGTACACAATTAAGTTAAATAAAATTAATTTTTAATTCTTTTTATTTCCATGTCCATACTTTTTTACTTTTTTGTTTATTGT